TAGGTCGATCCAGATCTGTTTGCACTCCAGGTCGGGCTCCAGGCCTGCTGCAGCGTCCCCCCCGAAGTAAGTGACGTACAGACGTTCAATTGGAATACCAAACTCCTTGGTCAGAAGCTCCAATGCCATCTTACAGGCCAGGTGCTGCAGGGAAGATACAGGGAGAAAACAAGACAGAAGCGTTAGAGGACTCCACATGAAACATCTGTGCCAAATAGGTGCAGGAAAAGGGGGGTGGAGTAAAATGATTAACGTAAGCTAACCACTTTATCTAAATGTCAAAATGAAGGGCACTGCAGTAGATTAAGTTGCAAGTAGGGCCGAAACCAACAAGTCTGCAAGTCAATATTAGCTTATTACAGATATAATGGGGCAAGACATTTCAGTACAGAAACTAAACTGTAAATTGTCACACAGATCTTTTGATCAATTGGCCTCCAAAATCTGTCGTTGTGATGGTATGAAGGTATGACAGCGTAGTACCTTAAAGTAGTCCCCAAAAGACCAGGACCCCAGCATCTCGAAGAAGGTATGATGGTAGACATCTTTACCCACATCGTCCAAGTCGTTGTGTTTACCTCCTGCGCGGATACACTTCTGGGTGTTGGCGGCACGACGCAGCTTGGCCATAGGGTGGGAGGGATCGATGGTGTTGAGGAAGATTGGCTTGTACTAAAAAAGAAGGGGTACAAAAAATGTAAAAGAGTGAAGAGGTATAATAGAGACACCATGAAGTGGAGTGATGGGGAGAAGTATGGGTAGTATACCTGGTTCATGCCAGCATTGGCGAAGAGCAGCGTGGGGTCGTCCAGAGGGATGACGGAGGACGAGTGGACATACGTGTGCTCATAGCCGCGGAAGAAGTCGATGAACTTCTCGCGGATTTGAGCTGCATTCAAAGTGGAGTCCATTCTGAATCAGCTGTCTAAACATAAAAAAGACAATCAGTAGAGTTGTCATCAAGCATGTTTAAAAGGCACTCCCAGGGGTCGCAGCAACATGTTTACTTGAGCTCCATCTCCAATTAAATCTTTCTGGCTCCCTGAATGTGTTCTAGTGACACCATGACATTTTGTATGGAGATTTATAGTACAGCTTACAGCATTGTTTTAATAGGACAGTAACTGGTCTAACCTGCCGACAGCAGTTGGGCTTATTTATAAGGTTACATAAAATGGTTTGTTTTACTAAGTAATGATTATTTTAAGCCATTATTGTAATTATAATTTGTTCACAGAACAATAACTGATTCATTGATAGAAGATGTTGGCTCTAATGGCCCACCCATTTTGGAATGATGCAACTCCTTAGTTGCATCATGCATTGTCCGCATGTTGGTGTTGATGTGGCTGCTCTTTCTAAAAGTCAGTTGAAGGAAAATCCTTCCATCTCAATTGAAACAGAAAAGCTCAAAAGGCCTGCAGATAGCACTTATCCCAAGGGCAGTTTCTCTCTGCACTTTAGCCGTGTGTGAGTGTGACAAGTTAGCACTGGCTAAGTCCAATCTGTTGGTTATATGTTGTCTGCAGACCAGACCAGGGAGGTTAAAGACCTGTCCAACCAGTCACGCCCAACAACAGCAGTTTTTGTTGTTCTCATCATTTGTGGAAAACCCTGTTGAACAACAACGCTGTTATGTTGTCAACAACTAACTGTAGTTGAGTTTATTTATTTTCTTGGAAAATGTGCGATCCTTACAAAAGGCATATACCAAGGTTAACAGCAACACAACAGCTAGTCTCACTTTTAGTTTAATAAATATTTGATTTCACAGTGAGTTAGATGGCTCTGGTTTTAGGGCAATGACAACAGTCAGACCACCTTAGCCCTTGCGGCAGGTAAGTTATTTTCTCCATGGCAGGGATATGAATCAAGAAACAGTTTGAAATGTTCTGCTCCTTTGAAATGCTATGCCTCAGAGGTTATACATTTATTTGATTGAAGCAGACATGTTCCAATAAGTGACGTCACACTTTTTGTACACTCCTGAGGCCTGTACTATGAAGCCAGTTCAACCTAACCTGGATATGTTTGAGTTACCCGGCTTACCTAATCCAAAACAAACGCGCTCTCGCTGAACCGTCCTACGACGCTGGTTATCAACTGGTTCTCTCAAGCCAGCCGTGTCCTATCTAGTTAGGTGCGCGTTCACATAAAAGGGGTGGTATATGGAGCATTCGACCAATCACAAACATGGACAAGCATACTGACAGCACAGCGTCATACTTCCTGAATGAAAAGTCAACTATAATATTAGACAAATATGAAGAAGTTAAACTTTAAACATCCATGACTTAAACTTAAACTTATCCAGGATAAAAGCCACATAGCTGCACCTGCAAGGTGAATACAGCTGGTAAAAGAAAAAGTGTTTGAATGCGTACATTAACAGGTTTATGATATCACTGCTAAGACACGAGTGGATCTGACTTTAATTACATTTGACTCGAGTGTTTCGTCAACTTAATGTGTTGCTTAAAATAATAATATTTTTGCCGGCCGTCTTTCCTGCAACGGCAGTCTACACTGTATTTCCTTTCTCCTGTAATATGACTTGATCGCTTTAAACTCCACACACGGAGCTCTGATTGGTCAGCAGGCGGTGCTTTCACTGAGTTGAGCTCTTAGCCTGCAACCTAACCTGCTCCGGAGCATGGCAGAGTGGAAGATACATCAAAGCGTCTTCAAGAAGAACAATGACATTCTACTTGTAATATTTGTTCAAAAAATATTTAATTTGATTATTTTCTTTGTTGATTCTACAGAAACTGTATTATAACTTTTACGTAGAGGTGCATAGATAGATGCATATAAATATTTACTTTAAATGTAAAGCTGGAGACATTCATTGAAATGAGAATCAGAAAAAAACCTTTACCGATGAGAAAGATTTGAATACATTAAAACAAATATGTTTGGTTTTATTAACAAGCTCCATAGCTGCAGATTGTGTTTATAATTAAAAGGGCAGCACAGTAGATTCCCAATCATTGGACTCATTTGTAAACTCGCTGGCAAAGGAAATCCCACAGCTGAGTCCTTCAGCCCTCTGGGGCCAGCATTAAAACAGTAAACAGCCACCATCCCCATCCTGACTACGACACCACCCTGTTGGCAACTAGAGAAAGTGGAGAGTGATGGGATGGAAAGTGCCTCTGCAGAGAACATACTATAAGAAAAACTAGTGCAATGTAAAGAAGGGTTTGTGTGGCAGATGACGGTTCAAGTCCATTGTTGAGACAAAACATGACAAGAGGAGAATACAGTAACCGGACTGGTGTGCACTTTTAAGGATACAAACAAGGATCAACACAATATGTTCTTTTGGGTAATTACTACATTGACAAAGAGCAACAAAACCAATCGTATCGAGTGCTACAATTAGGGAGGCAAACAAAAACAAGCTAAAATTGGTCACATCCGCAGGTCTAACATGAAGTCTCCGAGGGTTAATTTCCTTTTCTCCTGCTGACATCCCCTGTCACCTGTGCTGTAACCTAAAGGTGCACAGAAAGTGGTGCCACAAAATAGTGCCAATCATTTCAGACACTCAAATTTATTTTTAAGACAAGAACTATCAGAATTATTAGTAAACTGGCTGTAAATTACTTTCCTATGCAGAGGAACTACTATCTTGACAAGCTGACGTTAGCAATTGATATGTTAGCCAGACCGGCTACCTCAATAAATCCAGCCTGAGAGAGATTTTCGCACACATAAAACCGACTTTACTGAATGGTAGGGTGAATATTATTTATTTCAACATCCCATGAGTAAAGAATAATACTCACAGAAGTCGTTATTCTCGCAGAATGAATGTGTTACTGCTCCCAGGCGCACCGCTTTAGCCCACGCTGCTCGACCAAAAGGAAAGCACAGACATTGAGCACGCCCTCGGCAGCTGTCCATTGGTCCAGCCAACTTGTTCGTCTGCAAACGTACATTTCTATTGGACAAACCACCTGTCAAACTTAGCTGGCACATCAGTGGTACTGACTTCCCTGGTTTGGCTGATGCAATGGAAAAGACACCGGTGTCATTAGAAAATGATTGTTTAACCATTGTATGGTGTTCATATTTGTGTTACTCAGCCAGTGTTCGTGGATCTGGGTGGACCCGCTGCCTTTTTGGCCTTCAATTCAACATAATCAAACTATTTTATGTTAAAATACTCAACAGATGTTTACTTCATCTGAATTACAAGCAATATAAACAGCATATGGTTAATATTTGCCCTTTTACATTTGTTGGATCACATTAATGAATTAAAGTGCTACTTGTTTTTTTGCCCGCTGACCGGCTGGTCCTGTGGCTCATCTTTTTTTTGTAACTAGCTGATGCTCAATCTCATCCTCTTCTTCAAAGTCACTGTCAGACTCAGAATTCTCAGAAATGTGATCCTCACATTCTGAAACCTCTTCCTCACAACATCATCAAATGGTTCTCTCTCTTCCAAAATAATTTGCAAGGCCCTCTGAGCAGAGCAGAGAATCGTTTGGCCAAACTGGCGAAGCTTTATTTATTGTGTCTCGCCCCAAATTTGCAGCTTGGATAGAGTGTGATTTTTTTGGGGGGGTTGTACAGTGGGTGGTCATTGAAAATGTGTTCTGTATGTTCTTCACAGAAAATGAGCCATGGCCATTGAGTGTGAGTTTGAAAAAATAATTTGTCATGTCATTTTTCTTTACCTAAATAATGAAAACCGTTCCACAGACCCGAATACCATACAAGGGTTAAATGAGACGGATGACATTACACATTTAGTTGTTTCCCACCAGTAACAATATGTAATCGTTTTGGAAAGTAATGTGGATGTTTAGGCCAGATCACCATGACAAATATCACACATGCTCAATAATTACAATGAAAAGTGTTGCAATAATTACAATGAAAGTGTTGATTATACAACTGTTTTTGCCTATATCTAAGATAAGTCTGTGACTTAATATTTTCTCAGTGTTTCATTATGCCACGCGGAATCATTTCTCCGCTTGCTTTGTTTCGGGGGACTGTTTTTATGCCGGACTGTTTTCCACACGCCGTCACATTTCCTTTTCTCTGCACCACCATGCCGACTGACACCAAACGTGTACGCGGCCCAGAAGTTTCTCAAAGTCCGACTCTGTTTTTGTGTAAGCATGTGGCCGTTCTCCCCTCGCACGGGCGCAGAGCGGACGGTCGGCAGCGGGACCAGGTAGACGTCCGGCCGGTGTTTGTGCGCTGCGGGCTAGTGAGCCAGGCTAAAGGCTCCGCGTACATCGAGGCTGGAAACACCAAGTTGATGTGCTGCGTTTACGGCCCCAGAGAAATGGAGCGGAAAGACGAGACCGATATGAAATGTGGAAAGTATGTCCTGATTTCATTAATCAATTAATGCTTTGACTCGGGTATTGCTCTACAGCAAGTTAAACGCTTATGTTAAAACGATATCTTGTGACTTACACATCCGGCCTGAATAAATAAGCAGTAAAAAGTAGCTAATAATAAACTTAAGATAGACAATTTAAGTGTTCAACAGAAGTTAAAAGTGCAAAATGAATAGCAGAGAGTAGATTGGGTAGCCTATATCGGTTTTGTTTTTTTAAGCCATTTTGCTTCATACTTTTATGTCAGTATCAGCATCTCTTCATCATGCATTCGAGGAGACACCAATGTCATGTATCTGTAATAAATAATATAGAAAGACTTTATGAAGACAGCTAAACTATTTCTGTGTATCCAGGTTGACTACTGACATGCGTTTCGCTCCATTTTCCTGCCTGGAGAGGGGCTCCTGGATTCAGGGAAGCCAGGACAAGGACCTCTCCCTGATGCTACATGAGAGTCTGCAGCCAGCCGTGTGCCTCCATAAATATCCCCGCTCTCAGATTGAGGTTAATGTGATGGTTCTTGAGAACAGCGGCTCAGTTCTGGCCCATGCTGTCACATGCGCTTCCCTCGCTCTTGCAGATGCAGGAATCGAAATGTATGATCTGGTGCTTGGTTGTTCCATACGTCAGAATGGCGCCTCTTATGTTGTCGATCCTTCTTACATGGAGGAAAACAGCTGCAGCTCAGTCAGCAGTGAGAACCAGGGTGGTCTGACTGTAGCTTTCCTCCCTAGCCTGAACCAGATTTCTGGGCTGCAGTCAGATGGAGAAATGAATGAAGAGACTCTGACAGCTGGGGTCCGGACCTGCATCGAGGGATGCTATAAACTGTACCCTGTCATCCAACAAGCCCTGACCAAGGCTGTGCGCCGAGCTGCCCCCCCGCCATCAGAGAGCTGAAAGACTCAATAACCAATAGCATAGCTTTACAATGTGCAGTTCTTACATTCACAACACAACCTTTGTTTCTGTTTGATATTATGTTCTTACAAAAAGATTAAAAGACTGTTTTCTTATTAAACTATTTAATGATACATTTATACGGTATAGTCTGCAGTTTCTGAATTAATTGTTTAGGTTTTTTATTTCTATTATTATTATTGACCAAGGTGCAGTCGAACAGACGGTTTTCAATCTGCGACAAAATATGTGTAGGCTTTCTGCTGTCCTGATATCAATGGGTTACACCATTTTGGAGACAGGATATTAAACAAGCCTGTTTTTGTTGAGAAGTACCTGGGTCCCACTCACAGTGAGGGAGTAGTGAGCTAATATGTAGTGTGAAGTGCACATGCTGGAGTGTATGGTTTATCCATGTCCTGGATGTAGGGCCTGAACCTTTCACATCTAAATCACAGATGGACTAAGTCAGCCAAAGGTATCCTGCTCAGTGGAGCAGTTGGTCTGCCTTTAGCTTTGCCGGCGGGTTGGGCTTAAACCTGTTCCATCTGGAACAAAATTACATTGATTTTAAAACATGACACTGCAGCTAGAATGGAACCTGTTGTTTGTCAAAACTAAATTGATATGACTGTAGAATATCTTATCTATCTTATATCAATAGAGATTACCCAACTTAACGCTAACGCTGTACTGGAGAGAATATGTGTAAAAAACCAGGATATAAAAAGGTACTCACCTTGTGGTAAACCTGCAAAAGAGAAAGCGTTTGAGCTCCATACTATTTCAGAAATAATCCTTGATGTGGTTTGGAACATAATATGGCGTTTAATCACGGCAGTGTTTAGCTGGTTTTGTGCTAAAAATCTTTCTCTTCTCATTTAAAGCTACGGACCCAGAATCAGCACTTTTGTAACAGGGCTGATTCTGAATAGAGGGGTATGAGGCTACGATGGGTGATCTGTTTGGTATTTTGAGCAAAACACAGAGACATGTTTTGTATAGATATGGCCCTATAATATATTGTTCAAATATAGCATATTAGTTGAGCTTTGAGACACTTTTTTCCAAACTCTTAACACAGCAACACACCTGTATCACACTACAAATCGTTTACTGTTTAAAACAACTGTTTGTTCATGAAATACCAACTCTAAATTCCAAAATGCAAAGATACTGTCTCTACACAGCTAATAGTCTTAAACACTAGAACAGTATTTCACTATTTTAGAGTAACATAGCCAATCATTGACATGTTACACTTGTTCTTGCACACAATAGGCTCAGTGTTTTTTATAGTCTGGTTGGTTTTACCACTTTGCCTTTTTTTGGTTGAGTGTGGAATACAGGCATTTTGAGTAACATACTATCTCAAAGTGAAGGCGTGAACTTTACTTGAGAATAGTTATAAATAAAATGATGGAATTGCTGCAGTAAAAGCTGTATAAGCAACAAACAACAAAATATATCAAATATGCATGACTCCGAAAAAGATTAAACAAGGCACACGAAAACATGTTGGTGCTTGGAATAGTTTTCCAAAAGTCATACACACACAAGATTAAACTAATTTGGGTCATTGATTGCAAGACATGTAGCTTTGCGAGCTTCAGCAGATTGTGAGAAGACCCTTTGTCAATCTCAGTTTCAACAGTTTTGGGATGAAGTGCAGTATGAAGTGGATCTATAGTTGATAAGACATCTAAGATACCCTAGTTTTCCAAGAAGTAAATTATAGATGAACTGCCTCCAGAGGTTAATGGATATACATTGCATTGCCTTCATTTTGAGCGTATCTGAATATTGGGGGGATATACACAATGTACAGTGGGAAAAAAAAGTATTTAGTCAGCCACCAATTGTGCAAGTTCTCCCACTTAAAAAGATGAGAGGCCTGTAATTTTCATCCTAGGTACACTTCAAATATGAGGGAAAGAATCCAGGAAATCACATTGTAGGATGTTTAATGAATTAATTGGTAAATTCCTCTGTAAAATAAGTATTTGGTCACCTACAAACAAACAAGATTTCTGGCTCTCACAGACCTGTAACTTCTTCTTTAAGAGCCTCCTCTGTCCTCCACACGTTAACTGTATTAATGGCACTTGTTTGAACTCGTTATCAGTATAAAAGACACCTGTCCACAACCTCAAACAGTCACACTCCAAACTCCACTATGACCAAGACCAAAGAGCTGTCAAAGGACACCAGAAACAAAATTGTAGACCTGCACCAGGCTGGGAAGACTGAATCTGCAATAGGTAAGCAGCTTGGTGTGAAGAAATCAACTGTGGGAGCAATTATTAGAAAATGGAAGACATACAAGACCACTGATAATCTCCCTCGATCTGGGGCTCCACGTAAGATCTCACCCCGTGGGGTCAAAATGATCACAAGAACGGTGAGCAAAAATCCCAGAACCACACAGGTCAATGACCTGCAGAGAGCTGGGACCAAAGTAACAAAGACTACCATCAGTAACACACTACGCCGCCAGGGACTCAAATCCTGCAGTGCCAGACGTGTCCCCCTGCTTAAGCCAGTACATGTCCAGGCCCGTCTGAAGTTTGCTAGAGAGCATTTAGATGATCCAGAAGAGGATTGGGAGAATGTCATATGGTCAGATGAAACCAAAATAGAACTTTTTGGTAAAAACTCAACTAGACGTGTTTGGAGGAGAAAGAATGCTGAGTTGCATCCAAAGAACACAATACTGTGAAACATGGGGGTGGTAACATCATGCTTTGGGGCTGTTTTTCTGCAAAGGGACCAGGACGACTGATCCGTGTAAAGGAAAGAATGAATGGGGCCATGTATCGTGAGATTTTGAGTGACAACCTCCTTCCATCAGCAAGGGCATTGAAGATGAAACGTGGCTGGGTCTTTCAGCATGACAATGATCCCAAACACACCGCCCGGGCAACGAAGGAGTGGCTTCGTAAGAAGCATTTCAAGGTCCTGGAGTGGCCTAGCCAGTCTCCAGATCTCAACCCCATAGAACATCTTTGGAGGGAGTTGAAAGTCTGTGTTGCCCAGCGACAGCCCCAAAACATCACTGCTCTAGAGGAGATCTGCATGGAGGAATGGGCCAAAAATACCAGCAACAGTGTGTGAAAACCTTGTGAAGACTTACAGAAAACGTTTGACCTCTGTCATTGCCAACAAAGGGTATATAACAAAGTATTGAGATGAACTTTTGTTATTGACCAAATACTTATTTTCCAACATAATTTGCAAATAAAATCTTCAAAAATCAGACAATGTGATTTTCTGGATTTGTTTTTCTCATTTTGTCTCTCATAGTTGAGGTATACCTAGGATGAAAATTACAGGCCTCTCTCATCTTTTAAGTGGGAGAACTTGCACAATGGGTGGCTGACTAAATACTTTTTTGCCCCACTGTATATGGTGAATTCGGCCCTCACCCTGAGCTCTCTGAATTATGAGATGACGACCCGGCGGCAGACATACATCTCTGGGCGGGCGTTTGATTTACCAGGGCGGGCCCACCACGACACTTACATTTCCCGGGAAATCTGAATTGTCAATGGGGGGGGCTGTTAGATGCTCGCGATTTGTCAACGGGGGGGGGGGGGGGGGGGGGGGGGAGGGAGGCGCTCGTGAATTGTTGAAAGAGAGGGGTTTTAGGTTGCCATAAGGCTGTTGACGGTCTTATATCCATTGGTTGGTTTTGTGGCACATTTGTAACGCTGTGCCAACTTGGGCAAGCACGCAGGCAAACTTGAGCGCACACAGGGTGGAGAGGTGGAGTGAGGTTGAGCGATGGAGAGAAAGGGAGAGAGAGAGAGATTGAGCGAGGCAGAGAGCCTGTGCAGCCAACACACTCTCACTCCCTAAGCGTCCAGGAGCGACGTTTGGTCAGTGTCCGTGGCGTCCAGTTGTGACGCTCCTAGGCTCCTTCAGGGTCATAAAGGGACGCAAATAGCTTTCAATTGATTGCAATGTATTCCCATCTGCGGCGGGATTTGACGCTCATGGAAGCACGATATTCGTTTGTGTCGGCTGCCCTTAAAGGCAATGTGAGCGTCCATTCCCATTGGATAACGGATAATTGTACACCCGGAAGTAAGTATTCCTCTTACTGTCGATTGATTTTACAGTGATATCTGCACTACTCATCGACTGAAAAACACCAGATTATCCTTGTTAATTACACAACATTGATTGGTTTAAATTGTGTGCAATAATTTTGTATTTTTCCCCTTCGATTCGGAGAAACAAATGTTTTTTCTGAGTAAAGGATGGCAGAAGACACTACACTACCCAGAATCCCCAGCTATCGTTTGGACTACACCATGTGCTCTGTTTGACAAACCCCGTGATAGTCCTCAAGCTCTGTGATTGGAGAGTGTGCTCCGAGGGTTACGCCGATTCTCGAACAGCACTTGAAATGGGATGGAACCATGCACGGCAGACTGTCCAAAACTGGATTTGAACGGGTCCACCGCGTCCCCCCCTCCCCCACCCCATCCCCAGAACTACACATGCTGGCTATTCTGTTTCGCAACATGTTCTCTATCTATGGCACGTCTCTACTGGGAGTTGTAGTTTTAAAAGACGTTTTCGTATTTCCCATAATAAGAAGTTGCCAGTATTAAACTGTGTACATCCCTGGAGGTTCAGGGGATAGGAAACACTCAAATTTAAAACATATAATTAATAAATGGGTGAAAATTGCTTGTGCCCATAATGGGCAGCATTAATATATATACACACATGCCAGCTAAGGTCAGAAGAGCTTTATTTAACAGCTGGTCTTATGTTTGTGACCCCTGTTGTTAATTGATAACATTACATTAATTGATAAGCCTGAAACATGCACTTGTCAAGGTTCAGAGGCAAATTTTGCAAATATGGCAGTAGCCATCGATCAGCTTAAAATAAGATATACTTTATTGACCCCAAGTTGGAACATTTGCGTTACATCAGCATGTGTAACAGTTGTAAATATGCAGTGGTGTTTATTTGTAAATCATTTAGTATAATCACACAAATTCTGTGTTTTATATTTAACAATTCTGTGTTCTTTATTTATTGATTGTTCAATACCTGACAAGGCCGGAGAGGAAATATCTACATACATCTTATAAGAGTATAATACATTATGTATAATATCAGT